AAACTTTGTACAAAAAGCTTTTGAATGAAAAAATTGTTTTGGAGCAATATATAGTAAAAATTTCGAATTTGTATTGTTCTTTAAGAATAGACTGTCACATCTCAAGAATTTTAGTGTTATAAAACTTGGGGTGTGACAATTGATACAATCCAGAATGCAAAACGCAAAATACATAACAGAAAATTCCATAATAAAACTGGGGAAAATTATGGTCTTAGATTGTTTTAAATGTAGTAGTTAAATGCATTGTATGAAATTTAGAATTCAAAATCATGCTAAAGGATTATGAAGTTTTTGGGATCAAAAAATCTTCAATACATATTCTGCATAATGATAAGTTTCTTTAGTGTACTAGGAGCTCAGGGTACTTTGGTTCAGCATTTTTCAGAAAGCTGAACAGCTAAGCATGTCACTGAGGAAACTGTAAAATCTCAAGGCAATAAAGTTTCTGCAAATTGACATTCATTTATCTCTACGCATAAATTATTACATTTCTTTTCAAATTTGAGAGCAATTAAGAAGTTCTCCATGATATTTCCAACCAGTAACATGTAATTCATGAAATAGCACCATTCACTTATATAAATGGCTACTCTTGGGCTCCTGAAAATGTCTCAAGAACTAACAACTCTCCACATGATACCATTTGCACTTCAAGTAACACTCTCTCAACCAATCCAATTAAACTGAGCTATGGATTGACCTAATGGACTCCAGCACAAGATGCTAATTAGAACTTTGAGATCCAATTGCATGGAAGGAGTGTTTATCTAAACATGCATTTAAAACTATTAGATTTTTTTAGTTTGAAACTGTTAACTGTATTAATATGGGAGTTGTACAAAAAATGAACTACCGACAGGCCGGCAGTCGTTCAAGAATCAAAATCCCCTTACAGGGTCCAAAAAATGCTATACAAGCTTTACAATATCGAGTTTGTAAGTAAACAGTATATGCTATTTAGATCTCAAAAGGTGCTCGAAAATCTCCTGCATGGTTTGCTAAGAGGGACCATGCATTGGCCTCTCCCCAGATATGTTACCAAAACATGTGCGTAACCCTACAAATGTGGAAAATCTTGTCGAAGATGCGAGCCACTCTCGAACGGCAAAGGGAGGATCTAGAGGACCATGCTAGCACATTCTTCATATCTCCTCTACAATCAGCATATCAACCCATGAGGGGTTAAAGTGTCGAAGACCCATAAGGAGAGCTAGGGCTTAGGTAACCGTGGAGTTGGTAATACCGGTAAAGTGGGAGTAGGAAAAGAGCATGGTCCCCCCAGCATCTTTTATAATACTACCAATACCAGCAGGTATCAAGAGAAAACCCATCACAGTTAAGTTTGACTTGAGCCTGAATTTGGCCAGTTCCGAGGGTGCAAATGATTTGGAAGTCTGAGCAATGCTTAAAGAGGTTGTGGTTCTTAGTCCAAAAATTGACAAGTTTCACTTTGTCGAATAGCGTCGATAGGTGTAGCTTCTCCCCTCTAAATATTCGATTGTTGCAGTCCAACTAGATAACCCAAAGGGTAGCCGCGACTGCTGCGTGCCAAAGTCCTCTTCCCTGTCTGGTCCATGATCGAGAGAGGAAGGCCTCAACCAACTGAGGGATGGATGAAGGGATCCAGGACCAGCCAAAGATCCTACTTCATAGAGAGCTGGCTGTGGTGCAATGGATGAACAAATGGGCATTTGTCTCCTCTTCTTCTAGTCACATAGTGCACATATTGGGTAGATGTAGACCTCTTCTTTGTAGTAGGACAGTGGTCAAAGCTCTCTTGGCAAAGATTATCCAATTGGACATTTGGATCTGGAGGGTTTTGTAGAAGGAGGAGACAGATATGAATCCAGAGAGGCGGGGGTCGAATCGTTCTATCGTTCCCCCAAAAGTAAGAACATGCAGTGAAGAAGGGAGGAAAGTGCTGGAAACTTTGGAATTTCGACATCAGTCAATGGTTTTCTGAATCTTGGGTGCCACACTTGGTGTTTACCCACCGTTCGGAAGCATTCCGCTACCGTGGCTTGTGGGTTCAGTTCAATAAGGAAGAGGAGGGGGAATCTGTCCTTAGGTGGATTTTGGCCGAGCAACAAGTACGACCAGAACATGACACGGTGATCTTCACGAGAGTGGAAGCGGATGCAGGTTTTGAACTGGGTGCATGAAGAATCAACCTCCACACACGGGAGAAGGGAGCAGTTGGACCCAGCCCTTTCCATAGGTAGCCAACCATCAGCTGGTCAGCGGTATTTGAAATGAACAACCTCCTTCCAGAGATGGTTCTCTTGCGTAGAGAACCACCACCATCATTTGCCGAGGAGGGCAAGATTGTTGGCTCTGAGGTTACATGCTTATGCCCTAGGGGGAGCACACTCTGGCCCAAGAGATCAAATGCAGCTGTATTTGAAACGAACAAACTCCTACCGAAGATGGTTCTCTTGCATAGCGAACCACCACCACCATTTGCCGAGGTCAGCAAGATTGTTGGCTCTGAGGTTACGGATGCCTAGGCCCCCTTTGGATCTAGGGGGAGCACACTCTGGCCCAAGCAATCAAATGGTATTTCTTTCCCCCATCGCCTGCCCACAGAAAGTTCCTCATGAGTTGCTCTAGCCAGGTGGACACTAAGGCAGGCATGGGGAACAAGGACATCTGCAAAATGGGGATACTTAAAAGGGTAACCTTTCAAGTATCATGGCATCTAAAGCATCATGGCATCTTTGGGATCAGATAATCTTTAAATTAAAAATTTCAATTAACACTAAGGATCATGGCATCTTTGGGATCAGGTAATCTTTAATCAATGTTCAGCATAATGAAAAGTTTCTCTAGTGCGATAGTAGTCCAGGACACTTTGGTTGAGCATTCTTCAGAAAGCTGAACAGCTAAGCATGTCACTGTGGAAACTGTAAAATGAATATCAAGGCAATAAAGTTCTTGGAAATTAACATGCATTTCTCTCTCACTGTAAATTATTACATTTCTTTTCAAGTTTTGAAAGCAATTTTCAGAAATTCTCCATGATATTGCCAACCATTAACTCGCAGTGACTAAACTATTCTTGGGGAATCAATCAATAAAGTAAACTAATTGCTACCTAAAATTGTAGGAAAAACCCCATTCACTTATATAAATGGCCACTTATGCTTCCACGAACATGTCTCAAGAACCATCATGAACCCTCAAGGATAACAGCTCTCCACATGATACTATTCTCACTTCAAGTAAAGCCATCTCTCAATCAATCCATTTCGACTCAGCTAGTGATTGAACTAGTTGAGTCCAGCACAAGATGCCAGTTGGAACTTTGAAATCTGAACGCATGGATTAAGTAGTGCTTGTCTATGCATGCATATAACACTGAGGAATCCCAAGATCATTCCAAAAGTAAATTTAAAAGCATTCATAGAGAAAATGTGCAAACCTTTTCACTCTCAATCTGTTGCTTTAGCTTAAGCAACTCCAACTCCTTCTGACTCTATATCCATACAGTAATGAAATTAGAAGAATGCATTCAAACTAAGTATCACAGTGAGAAACAGAGAATAAAACAAAGATATGAGCCTACCAATAGGGCTTTTAGACGATCAATTTCATCCTGGCTGTCCCTGTCCCAAGGCTTAATTCATACAAAAGGAATCATGTAAGCATGGAAGGACATCTTTTCTGCAAAGGTCTAACAAAAATATTGAAACATAAAGCCATTACCTCAGTAGCCACATCGTTACCAATGAATCCATTATCTTTAGGTCGATCAGATGGCAAAGATTGTTTCCTACAGGCAAGTTTTTCCAAAGGAACAAGACATTGTTAGCATAAACTCTACATATATTGCTCATAATGTGTCAAATGCAATCAGTACAAAGATGAGGCCGCATAAGTATTAAGTGCAGATGTGCAAGTAAAGCTCAAGAACAAATGTGATTGACATACAACATGGATGTCGGATATCAAATAACAGAATCTAAATAGGTTTTATGATAAAAGAAGAGAGTATTTTCTTCTGTGTATAGATAAGCATATTTATTTTTTCAGGAAATAGATAAACACCTTTTTTATAGAAGAAGATTCAAGTTAGCAAGTTACAGATCAAGCAAAACCAGAACAAAAGAAGAAAACATCTAGATTTCTCAAACAATCTTAAAACTGCAATACCTTCAGCATATTTATACATCTTTTGAGATCTTTACCCTAGCCCCAATGGAAGTCAGGATTAGGATAGTGATTAGCTGTTCTGAGGAGATGTACCACATCAACCATCTCACTCTATTTTTCCCTCACTCATATAATGAAGCAAGTGCCCATTGAAATGGAATTCACTAGAAACACATTTGAACAGTCGTTAGCTCATGAACGAGGTTCGAACCAGTGTTTTAAAATGTGGCCGCATCATGCGGGATGCGCTGACAACTGCATCGCCTGACACCGCATATGCACTTTGGTGGGATGCATCCGCATATCCCACCAAAGCGCATATGCGCCACATCCCACCGCACATTCGCCCACATAGTGCATGGCCCATATAAGGCGCATATGCGGCCCGCATGCAAAATGAAAATGCCCCATTGAAAAGGCGTATTTTGGTCGTTTTAAGCCCCGAAAAGGGAAGGAAAGGGTTTGGGGGGGTATTAAACTCCCCTAACCACCAAAATCAGCACATTTGTGGCCTTTACGAGATCAAATCGATCAAAAAAATATTTCTTGGATTTTCGTCTTGGATGATCTTTGGTTGTTGATTTGTTTATTTTGGATGTTGATTTGAGGAAGTTTTAACAAAGTTTTGACAACAAATTTGTGATTATGGTTATTCAATGTTTTATGAAGTTAGTTTCAAGTTTCTAGTCTCTACTTTATAATGTCTTCTATGATCTATCAAGGGATAATGGATATACAGAATTTCTGACAGCCGATACTTTCGGAGCTAATGAATAAGTTCAATATCTACTATCACATAAATTACCTCCATATTTTTTCCTATGTATTTACCTACTTTTTTTAAGATTTTTTTAGAAGTTCTTTAAGTTTATTGACTGCATCGGGGTGATGCACCTGCATCTAGGCCGCATCGCCCCCCTCCATCGCATCGGGCCGCATCCCGCATTTTAAAACATTGGTTCTAACTATTGCTGCATCATTGACATGTTGCACCTTCATGTACATTTAAAATTCATCTATCATGCCTTTTGTCCCATTATGCATTAACAATATAAATGACACAACGATGCCACATACCTAGGTGTATAGAGTTCTGAGGCAATCAGAGAAACTGATTCTTGCTTTCCATCTGAAGTAGTTTGATTAGCCTTGCGAGCTGCATCTTCATTAATGGGAAATGTGGATTCAACTAGACATTCATCGAATAATTCATTGTGAGACTTGCTTCTACCAGCATCAGATGACCCAATGCTCAGCTCTAAGTTATCACAAATGCCAGAATCCCTAGTATCCAGAGCCTCTGCAGAATCAACAATAACACTGAAATATTTCAACCTATTTTTGAAAATAGTCTGATACTCACAAGATTGGAAGAAGATGAGATAGATGTTATCATGTTAATTATATTCATTAAATAAGAAAAGACGATGAGATAAGTATACGAAAGCAATAAAGCTTCTGATGGAATTTGGAAGAGGAATCTCATCAAAACCCATGGAAGCAGAAACAAAGGAGTTAATGTGTGAAGGAACATTAATTCCAAAAAGGAATGCATGAAAAAAAGAAAAATAGGCAGCAAGTATGTTTATGAGAACATACCAATACGAAACTATACCTAATGACTTACAACTCTTACACTGCATGGGACTCAGCCTGTCACGAACCAAATCATATCAAAACGACTTGATCGAATCTATTTAAAAAGAGCATGTAAATGGCCTAACTTAGGTGATTCTAAGTATAAACGACATGACTTGGTGGGTTTCCAAGCCGAATTGACTTGGGGGAATCTTGAGTGAACTAGATGATTCTTTTTCTTCTTCTTTTTGGCTTGAAATTGGTATTATATTGAAAAATTCATTTACCTCAACTTGCAACATACGGTGCAGACAGAGATGCTGACGTAACAGGCATATGGGGAGAGAAAGAAAAAAAGGTACGATCCCACATAAAATTCATTTCTAACATTTCCAATGTGGGGCACAGTTGTTGGGATCGAGAGCTGGATCAAGAGTGGGGAATGGTGACAAGCAAGAAGAACCCTTTGGTTTGGAAGCACCACCCATAAAAATGTGAGCGATCAAAATCCCCAAATGTTAGGGATCTCAATTCCAACCTTTAGGGGATGCCGATCCCGACCTTTTGGCATCTCAATCCCAACCTTTTAGGGTATGTTTGTTTGGAGGGACTTATTTCTCCAGAACAAATAAGTCCCTAACATTGTAGCAAACCCATGTTTGATGCACAAGAAGTGCTACAGTGTCCGGAACTTATTGGAAAGTTTTAATTCCTCAACTTTCCCATTTTTCATTCAAAGAGAACAACTATTTTGTTCCATGGCTAAGCCAGGAACTTGTATTTGGGAACTTATTTGTGCCCAAGTCCCCATTATTTATTTTATCGATGTTATTTGTATTATATATAATCATATATATAATAATATAAATAATATACTATTTTATATTATACTACATTATATAACATTAGATAATATATCAGTATAATATAATATCAATACAATGTAATATTATAATATTATGCATAATATTAGTATAGTATAATATAATATTACTGCAGTATATAATATATATTTTATATAATACAAATATACATTAATAAAATAGATGTATTATACATTATATTATATCTTATATTATGTTGTTTATATTATGTTATACATATTATACATTTATTTTTATTCTAATATATGAAGTAATATTTAATATTATAATCAATATATTTAATATGTAATACACTATATGTAATAAATATATATATATATATTATATGTTATAGTTTATTATATTATTTAAATATATAATATATATTATATATAATATATTTATATCATATAATATATTTATTACATAATATATAAATATATAAAATAGTAAAATATTTCAAACACATGTACCTAGAACTTCTTTAACATTCCAGCAAGTTATCAAACACATTATCCAAAACTTATTTAAACCTTCCAGAATAAATAAGTCCACTTCCCAGCAAAGAAAAACTTACTTTTTCCAGGGAAAGTTTACCTTCCAGCAAACAAACGCGCCCTTAGGGATCTACTCCCAACATTAAAAGGTATATATAGTCTAGAACTATAAATACTCTTTAAAGAAAGTATATCTTTATAGACAACAAGCAATGTGTCGGTAACGGGGTATTTTTCTTCAAAAAAAAGAACCAATGCATCTCTATTAAAACTATAATTGCATTGCTACCTGCCTATAAATAAAGAAAATAATCCATTTGGTTGTTATTTTGGTCTTTAAGGTGAGGACTGAGATCTCTAACAATGGGAAATGAGATCCCAATATTCAAATATCGAGATCTCTTTGAAGATCCCTTTCCAAGCAAGATTCAAGAGCGGGATCGCCACTTAGGTTGGAAGATCCCAACAACTACCAATTTGGGGCAATGGCCCACAACCTTATTGGCCACAGTAGATATGTGATGATTTGTCACATTACCAGCTTGGCACAAATCAGGTATCTCTTCCAATGGATCTAAATATTAAAATCCTCTATAGGTGTAGATCATCACATGTGACCCACCTGATTGTATTCATGAAGTCACACTCTATCACGGGTAACATGAATAACTGGAAAAAGGCTCTTAACCCTAGGAGATGCACCTTCATTTCCCCTTCACGGGCATCATCTATACCTAAGGGACCAGCCAAGAGTGAATGAATGGACCCCAAACAATCAATGGCCACAAACTCCCACAATGGACCAACTCGTGTTTCCAGACAAACTTCCATCAGATTTGAGCTTCATCATGTGAGGCTTCAAATTTGTTAGATATCCCTCAAAATATTTGAGCTTAATCACCACCTAAGGTGAGGCATGCCAAGAAGCATTGGTGATTTTCCTTAAACTCAAGACTCATCATTGTTAACCACTATGGCTTAGGTTCAAGATTGAAAGACCTTGGAACTCCTTGTGTAGTCAGCTCCATGGCATGATCATTGTCTCTCACTCTATCCTTGAATGTTGACACACTTAAACTTTTCCCATTGAAAAACTCTCGTTTCACTCCGACCATGATGCCCATAAGATACCAACCGAGGTCAAAAGCCATAAGACGTGCCCTTTCTGTGAAAAAAGGCACAACATCCAGCTACTCATAGCTATAGCAACTAACCTAGGAAATACCAAACACAACCGAAACATCCATTAATAGTGAGAGCATATGCTCAGGAGAAAGGGTAGTGAAGGAGAAGATGGTCCACAATCTCTTCTGCCTTCTTGCAGATAAAGCACAAATTTGGGGATTGCAACCCTCGACATCACCTGTTAACAAATGCCACAAGCCATCCAGCCATCCAAAACACAAGACCCTTGGAGAAGTTGGGAAGTCGCACAATAGGCGACCTGGGATAAGCTCAAATGAAGATGTGTCATCACTCTAAGAATCTCATTAAGAATACCTGCTTCTGATATACCAGCTTCTGATCCTGACACCAAAGGAGTCTGCCCACCCCCTCATCAGAATGTCGGTACAGTCAAACAAACTCATTAGAGAACAAAGCTCTTGTCTATCTATAGCCAAAAAAAAAAAAACTTCCCCCTCATGTCTGTCTCTCACAGCAGTTCCTAATTGTGAAAGATGGGGCAAGTTCAAGTGAATATGTGGGTATCACTCCCAGTAAGAATCTCACTAAGAATAGCACACTTCCCCCCCCCCCCCCCCTCTAACAACATAAATAAATAAATGTGGATACCAAATGAGTCTAACCCCTGCCACCCTGGCTGTCCCTCATAGCACTCAATCACCTTTCCCCCAATCACATTGTGATACCAACCCAGAAGAAAGAGCCAACCTTGATGTTGTACCATAAACCAAACATCTTAAGTACCTCCCTACATTTCTAATTTTACACCCCCATCCATCTAATACCGTACAACTAACTTCTACCCTCCTCATATTATGCTACCATACCCAGGAGCTAGTGCCAGTTGCTTGAAAGTGCTATATTAACAGGTGTTAAACATCTAATCCCCAAACCTCTGAATGCGTTGGTGTCACAGCCCCGCCCCCTACCCCCTACTGTACTTGCCAGAGGGTAACAGAGTGCAAGACCGCGACCAAAGGTAGCGAATACCACTCAAGTGGAAGTTCGCTCAACGCTTTGAAAAGATGGAAATCAAAGTCAACCATAAAAAAAAACAAAACACCAAGCATATAACCACAACAAGCTGAACAAACAAGTCCCCAACTATATATAAAAGCTCCAAAATATTACAAAAGAGTCATAGCCACAAAGGCCCAACAACTTTACATAAATTCACACAAACTGAACCATATGGCCAAACTGCCATCTAACACATACAATTAAACAGAAGAAGCTTCCACAGGAAAGGAGTACGGGGCTCCAACAGCGATCACCAGAATGCCTTTATCGAAACCTGCGGCTACCACTGAGGAAAATTAAAAGAGTGAGCTATAAAGCCCAGTAAATAGATCAAGCTAACATGCTTTCCTGCCTATGAATATTTTCTCATAACAATGATCAAGATTCTATGTAAATCTTACAAACATGGAGCCATGTGCCCAAAATCATATTTAACCATGTGCCTTGCATAATTCATTTCATGATGGAGCAATAACAAATCAAATAAATCAGAATCATATCATTCAAGTATGAACATCATAACAGATCAACATAATCAGACGAGTACATAACAAGCATAAACAATCCTAATATCACTTACTCCCGAAGTAGAAGCCCTATCCATCAGGCCAAGCCAATCCCATCGCTTAGAACTTCTACCATCACTCAGGAGGGAAAACACCACAAATGGATGACCCATTTCGTAGTGCCTTCACACACACAGTCCCCAACGCGCTTTGAGGCTTTTGATAGGCGGAGGTCTTGAAAGATACGACCCTCATTGTTCTCTAGCTGGAGGGCGTTACCACTAACGGATGACCCGTTGCGTAGTGCCATACACATATATTGGGGGTGCGACCCTCCCATGTGACTCAAATCCTAACTCCCTTCCTATCATTGGGAGTCAGGGAACGATCTCAATTGTCGGCACAACTTTCTTATCATATCACATTACACTACCAATAGATGACCCATTGCATAGTGCTTCACACATTTCTTATCATATCATATTACACTACCAATGGATGACCCATTGCATAGTGCTTCACACATTTCTTATCATATCATCTTACACTACCAATGGATGACCCAGTGCATAGTGCTTCACACATTTCTTATCATATCATATTACACTACCAATGGATGACCCATTGCATAGTGCCTTATATATATATATATATCATTTCATCACAGAGCTTGCTTTCATATCATACCAGAGCATGTACATATCATATCATAATAGAACATGTCTTACTACATGCATCCATATCATAACAAAGCTTATCTCATTATCATGCATTCATATCATAACTGAGCATGTCTTACCACATGCATTTGTATCATAACAGAGCATATCTCATTATCATGCCTTCATATCATAACTAAGCATGTCTTACCACATGCATTTGTATCATAACAGAGCATATCTCATTATCATGCATTCATATCATAACTGAGCATGTCTTACTATATGCATTCATATCATAACATAGCATATCTCATTATCATGCATATCATAACTGAGCATGTCTTACTATATGCATTCATATCATAACAGAGCATATCTCATTATCATACATTCATATCATAACTAAACATGTCTTACTACATGCATTCATATCATAACATAGCATATCTCATTATCATACATTCATATCATAACTGAGCATGTCTTACCACATGCATTCGTATCATAACAGAGCATATCTCATTATCATGCATTCATTTCACATTAGCAATAGATTAACATGCTCACATATCATAACAGATATAGGTTCATATAAAACATCATCATGTCCAAAGCATGTTATGCATATAATCATATCATCAAGCTCATTAGCTCAAAAGACATCATCATGTTATTTTTCTGGTTTTTTCACAGTGAACACAATCCACTTATAAAGGCCTATCATGAGATTAAAAAATCATTTGGACCTAAGACCACTTTTATAACAATCTAGGCTCATGAAAACATAACTTTCGTGAAGAGGGTAACCCCAAATTTTGGGTTAAAGTTTACCAAACTATTCGATGTTCTTGAATACAATTCCTTTTTTCACAGCAGAAAATCCAGGATGATATACTCCTAGGAAAAATGGCATAACTTTCAAACCACAAGGAATTGAATCATGATTCCAAAACCAGTTTCAAAATATATTCATTTTTCTTTCATTTAGAAGTGGTTTGACCTCATTCTGATATGTTTTCGTCAGTGAAAAGCTCCACACAAAAATACGTAAAATCCCTGAAATTTTCTTTTGCAAATCTGACATGCTTCAGAAAATGGTAAATAACTTTTAAACCAAAATGGATATTAACAAGAGGTCTTTTCCATGATAAATAGACTCAATGAGCTACTTTTCCAAAGAGACATAGGACACTCAAACAGTTTCTCAAACTGGGGCCACAGTTCTGGAAAACAGAGAATCCTCTAGCAGGATTTCAGTTACATGCACCCGCACTCATATTCACATCCATATGAATACTAGAATTTCATACTTTGATAAGCTAAGGAAACATGCATCAAACAAAATCATGAAAACATGAAAACCAGATCTACTTACATGCACTAGATCGAAACTCCCAAAATGCTCCACAAGTTTCACCTTCAATGCCAAGCTCCAAAGGATTGGGTTCAACTCAAGGGCTTAAGGCTTGGGGACGTCTTAAAATCATAAAGCAAGAGAGGAGAATGTGTGTGAGAGAAGGAAGTGAGCGGAGAGAAGGAAAATCAATGTGAGAGGTGAGAAGGGGGTATAAGTAAGCAAGGATGGGGGTAGCATGCAATTGACAAGTGGCACATAAGAGGCATGCATGAGGAGAGAGGGGGGGGCAAGCATGGGAGACAATCATGGGATCGTAGCATGCATGTGCCACATGGCACTCATGCATGAAGAGAAAGGGCATGAGAGAGGAGAGAGAGCATGTGCAATCATTGTGTGGGGGCGCAATCATGTCGTAATTATGTGCATTGGGATGCGTAGCAGAAATTTTTGGGGTACAGGTCAGGGCTTTCTGACGGTAGCTCAGATTTGAGCAATTTTTGTACCGTCGAAAAGCTCGTGATCCCTACAATAATACAATATCACCAAAACACCATACAGAGGTTATACAACAAATTGAAAAGAACACTGAGATTAGCATTAATAGGAAATGATTCAAGATATAAACAAGATCAACGACCGAAAAAGTCCTGGACCTTACAGCTGGACTTACATAGCATATCCAACAGAGCCAGTTGGAACTTACGCAAGCCACCACTACCTTGCTATTGAAAATTGTCAAGGGATTAGCTCGTATTTCTTAATAGTTGAAAAGAAGTTCGGAATAAGGACACGTAATAAACGAAAGTGGAGCTTAGGGAGGCTCTTAGCAAAGTCATTCTCCCAACTGTAGAGAGAATCAAACTTTCCATGATGGAAGCCTTCTCCCAACCCTGGATTGATGCCAATCTAGGAATATCATATTAAGAAACAGAAAGGTGGTATTTTTTGGGAAAGGGGCTTGGGTCATGGTAGTAGCACCCCTCATACCTTAGTTGCACATTGTGGCTTCTATTCCCACTGACACCTTCAAGAACCACTAACCATTTCAAAAACAGGTAGGGGCTTGTACTCCCCACTAAATTACCCAAAAAAACAAGCCTTCTTCCAACCCCAACACCATAAGGTCCCCTATATCCTTTCAGGCTATGTCAAGACAATATGGCAGTGGCAAGTACCTACAAAGGAGGAACTTCACTCTGCATGCTAAAGAGATTGTGAATTCTCCCAGTGCTTCTTCATGAGTGGATGCTCCAATAAGGGCACTTTTGTTCAGCCTGTTAGCCTGTTGCCATCTCAAATACGCATAGGATAAGTTACAAGATTTATAATTGCGCACTGCTAGACCGACAAAATACCAAAGTATCATTAGCATACTGTGAAAAAGATATCATGGGCCCTTCAAAGATCACCTAGAACCCTCTAGGAGACTTATTGAACAGCAATGCATAACAATTTGCTAAGAACTTCTGCCACAATATTAAACAAAAAAGGTGAGGAAAGTCCCCTTGTCTAAGGCCTTTGGAACTCCTGAAGAAGTCATATAGTGTACCATTAATCATGATAGAGAAAGATAATATCATTGGATTAGTCCTATAGTTCCCACAGAGTGAAGAAAATGGAGTCGGGCCCATAGATTTCCTTTCCTTTTGCAACAGTAGGAAGGAGATACTGCTTCAAGACATTTGAAAGAGCCAACATGCTCTTCTCCAGGGATGTCAGATAAGGTAGCCCTAGGAGATACATCGACCCCTCTATCGTCCATGAGTGGTCCATACTAGGTCTGACCAAATACCCATCCTAACTAGGAGGGCTTTAAAACACTGATTATAATAGAAATTATTCCAATTCACATCCTCAATTAAGACCAAAATATTTGCACACTGATTATAATAGAAACTATTCCAATTCACATCCTCAATTAAGACCAAAATATTTGCAAATTAACATCTAGATTCTGCCACATCTAGATTCTCCTTTAGGATTGGCAGTCCCTCTCCCAGTCATGATGTCCACCATCTTTGTCAACTACAAAACCAAATAGCAATGCAAATCCAGTGTCCATGATCCACTGACTGTAAAACACATCAATGACTTGAGACATAAATCAATAAATTACTTTTGCAATAACCAAAAACGAATAAGATGCATTGAGGCCACGACTCCTTCAAAGGTATGATGTTGACGAGCCCATCCAGCTTACAAAATATGGTTATAGGAATGAAATCTAGTGACAAGCATAAGATGTCTTCTCAACATCAAAAAGAAATTTTTTTTTTTTTTAAAATTAAGTAAGAGGGGTTTTTCTAGGGACTTTGCCCCACGTCTTACATTGATGCTATAAAAGAAAATTTACATTAGGCCCAAGACAGAAGTTCAAAATGGATAAAGAAAAGAAAAGACCAGTACGCTTTCCCACTTACATGATTTCCATTCTTGCAGCAGTTAAGAAGTTATTCAAGACAGATCACAATCTAACAGGACGTCATCAAGTTCTTGGTGAAAAATGGAGTATTTCCTTCTTCCCTTTTCTTAAGCTCTAATGAGTGTTAATGCTAAAAAGTTGCCAATGGGCTTTCCTCAGCTACATTGCCTCCTAAGGGATAATAATTCAATTTAGCAGCCACAAAAGCAAGTTGTTGGGGAGTTGCATTGGTCCTTTCTAAGTCACTTTGCTGGGTTTAGCATATTGTCGACGCAACTGTGATAAAGAAGCATCTTTTTAGTTCTAAGTTTTTCCTTTCTTTTTTTTTTTAACGATGTCCAACGTCTAAGGACAAAACAAATCCATAAAAGTGGATCCATAAGAAAAATCATATAAATTGTAACTACATGGAGAACAAGTTGCATAAGCAAACCTTCAGCTGTCTCCAGCTCGCTTGTCTGAATAAAGGTCGAAGCTTTTTCATGCAGGTGTGAATTTATTGATGATTCTGTCTCCGAAAACTGGGAAATACGTACTTGAGGTGAAACTCCAATATGACTAGAAAGACGATTTTCCACAGAAAAGTCCTCACTTGATATAGTGGAAACACCATCAGAGAAGTTACCCAAAAGGGCCTCCCGACCTTTTAATAAAATTTGTGACGCTGTCAAAATCAAATTAACATTAAATACATAGCTCAAAATATTAAGGAAAGAAGGCAAACCTGGGAACTGATTCTCAGAACTCTCCTCTATATTTTCTTCAGAATCAGTCTCACTGTTTATGTTAGTCTCTCTGAACTCCGTTAGGAGCATTGTGATCAATTTGTACCCTCTCCTTCTAACAATGTTTGCAAGATCTTGCCTGAGAAGAGGACAAAGAACAACTTAGTTTGTGAAATAGAGTGCTGCAGAGGAAGCCAAAAATCATTCTCATGTAAACCAAGTTCTGAGAAGACCAAAATTACGAAACACATCAGTATAATGAACAATAAATAAATCTAACAACTTTTCCCATACCAAATAATCCATGTAGAAATATTACAGTGATCTGGTTCTGTAACTTCCACAAGAAAAATAGGTAACAATCAAACACGTATATTTCCATGTGAGAATCAATAGTTCTAAACAATTAATTAAAAAATGCTAATTCCAAACTAAGTTCAGTTTCAGGGGCTTGAAAAGTTCAGTTTCAGGGGCTTGAAATAAGATGGACTTCAAACTCTCTAGCCATGCATGTTTCACAAGGAGTAGCATATATAAATGGTTCTATTGCATGGCATTGACACAAGCACATCCACAATTTGGAATGTCAAAGAAATAAGTGACAGCTTGTTCATTCAGTAGTTATATCTATCACTAGTCAACAACTTAGTAAAGAAATCAACTGTCAGAAGCAATGTACGGAAGATTAATGATAGAATTAACATCTTCCCAATGGAATAGCAATCAGCCGCTATGTGATTCATATTGCCATGAAAAACATGATTGGAAGCAATAGAGACAGATCACATTACCTCCACAATGTGGTGAAGGCAATGAAGCCAAAATCTATGAACTTTCAAAAGAGATTAAAACCCATGCTTTATACCATGATAGACAATGCTAAATTCAATATCCAGAATGAGTATAGACTTCGGAACAATATGAAAATATCATTGCAAACAAGAGAATCACAAAAGCCATAATAAAAAGGTCCCAGACCCACAACTGCTGGGACAATCAATCCGATCATGTATAAGAAGATCTAAAGTGAGGATGAAAGAAGCCAATGTAACATAGGACAAAGGTTTACAAAGTCAGGATGCTAAGCTGCATTCAGCAAGCTTAACATGCACTAACTTATCAAATGGTTAAGAATGGGTTGGTGGTCAATGCACCATAGTTTCCGAGCAACTTTTATGAAACAAGGGCATTGAGAAGGGGGCTTCCAGCTCCTGTTTTACAATAGGAAAGAGAAATGAACCCTAAGGTATTTTCTTCCTATTATATTTTTTGCAATGAAGCACTCCATCAATAGTGTAACGAGAGGGAAATTTAGCTTGGTGGCAAATGCAGCCTATAGAAAGGACAATATAGGTCAGGTTTGGAATGCCTAGTTACTAAATTGACCAAATCATCAGCACATTGACATAGAGGAATGCAAGAGCACATCAAAACACCTCCATGGATTTTCACAGAGCTAAATAGATTTCATGCATCAAGACATCTACCTAGAGTCTAGATAGGTTTCACCGTTTCAACACCACAAACACCAATAGCTACACCCCCAAGTGCCCCTTATATAACGAAAAAGTCCGCTACAAACTGAAAAAGGATTTTTTCTTTCTGGTGAGCAAACCTGTCCATATGGACTTGCCTACTCCTGAGGAACTCAATGAATCTCATCAGAGACTAAGCCAAGCACCTTTTTTGTGTTCATTTATTTCTTTATCCTTCATTACTTATTAAAGCAGTTAGCCATGATCCTTAGTCAATTTGGTTCACCAAGGTTCAAAACATGCCAGAAAAATGCATTTCTTTTGCTTTTTGGTCTAAATCAAGGTCAAATAAAGAAACTTCAATACATTTCAAAATGCAAGAAGCAATTTTTAAGAATAGCAGGGTTTAGAAAGAGTTCACATTGGATAAAGTCTCTCTTCGCCCAAGAAAATAGACTTGGATGCAAATTGAGTGAATTAAATTCAGACTAAACATTGGAAAGTCAAACTGGTTTCCATGGAAAACAAATAAGAAGATGTAAATTTGAGGTGGAATTTACTGATTATGATAGGAAGCGTGGCAGTATGACAGTAACTGTTACATAAAAACAAACATAAAGAATTCCGCCCAGGGACAGTTAACTAGAGGATACATGCATGTGTCCAGTTTACTATAAAATTCATTAACACAAAGTCAAACATTCTTGGAGCCACATACAAACACATAAAACAAAAGGAGGTTAAACACGTAAAGAGGCAAAGAGAATAATTCACACTGTGTGTTTACAATTACATTACTCTTAGTCTAACAGAGAAAACTGCAAAAACACAAGAATGATTTCTAAAACTTGTACTGAGAACCAACTTTAACTTTTACCAATAATAGTTATGCTTGGGCCCCATGAAACTGCCCAAAGAGTTAAGTTGGAAGATGATGAACATAATGACAAGTAACAGAAAAGAAAGGATAACAAAGTAAAAATCCAGGTACTTCAAACTAAAACAAGTCACAATTTTACTAAGCTGGCGAAATTTTTGAGTCCTGTGACTCAAAAAAATCTAGGAACTTCAGATATCTGCGGTTGCATGCATAACAAGGAGACTTTTCCAGAACCATTATTATCTTGGGCTCATGTGAACAGTAAAAATAAAAATAAAAATAAATAAATTTTTAAAAAAGTTAATGACTCAATGTTGTTACCAGAGGTACTAAAAATGAAAAGCTACAATAATTACCAACTAAAATGCATTTAAGAACAAAAACATTCCGTCAAGTTCCCGGATCACGAATAATAAAAAAACAAAGAAAAATAATTTTTAACCTTCCAAACTGAGAAAGCTCTTTCATCGATGGTATATGACTTGAAGGGAGGCCAGCCATAGTAATAAAATCCTGGAGCTCTTTACATAGATCAATGTTGCTCTTAACAGATTTTCTGGCCTTAGGTTTTCTGCTTCCCCTGAACCACCAAAAATGGACAACCATGACCAACAAGAACTAGCATTAAATGAGTACAAGTAATAACCAACAAACATGAGATTGTGTAGTGAATACCTTAAAAGAGGACACACGGAATAATTTACATGTTTTATGTCAATTAAAGGCACGCAAACTCATTACCGCCGCAAAAGTCATGAAAAGAAAATATCTAAATAAGCTCAATGGCTAGACCAGAGTTCCAAGATTACACATTATGGTTTTTGTTTTCTTTTTTTACTAAGGTTTAATCTCATGACAGTTGCTACAATAGAAAAAAAGATAACATAAACAAAATGTTCATCATATATAAGGTGTGGTAGGTGCATCTCTTAACCCAATTAAGAATAAGTACACCCTCTTAAATATAAACTAGAGATATGCCCCCAAACCCAATGAGACATAGGAAGTAAATAAGGAAACTAAAATATTACAGCTTGAGATGGGAACGGGAGTCATATCAAGAGGAGAGTCCGTTACTCCATCGTATCAAGAGCGAGAGTCCATCGTCGCAGTTGTTGACAACTGCAACAATACAACCCAAGTTCAAAAACTAGAGCTGAACTGCCCCCTAAAAAGAAAGAAAGAATGCCAATGGAAGAGAACAAAGAGCCTCCAAGAAAGAAGGTCACAGACCTCACAACGTTTGATCAATGGAAATTTACAGTAAATGGTGACAGATAAGCGCAATGAAACGGGTCAATCCACAAACTTCAGATAAAAACCACAAAAAAGAAAAAAAAAAAGCCCAGAGAGACAAAAAAGCAGATGCAGCACTTATTACAAAGAAACATCTTTTCCACTAAGCTAAACCACATCCCTATACAAACCATGTGTTTTTAAAGAAAGAGAAAGAGATAGCACAAAAACGCACACACATACACAGACTGAGTTCCCAAAAACTAAAAACACATTGAGAGAGAGACCTTGAAGCATTGTCAGATAAAGCCGAAGCCCGGATAGGGTTCCAGCCGCACTTGCAGTATTGAAAAGCGGGGGACAACGATCGAAATGGTGCTTCCTTTTTAGGCAATGCAATCGTGAAAGCTGGTGCTTGACAAAGACCTACTGCTGCCATTGTTACTATTTCAGTTAAACAACCGACGAACTACTCTCTCTCTCTTCATCCTGAATTTTGGTTATCTGGTTTCCATGAATACACTTTCAGCTAAGAACTCAAGGTCTAGTTACAGTCATATAGAGAGAGAAGGGAGAGAATGTTAAAAAAAATAGAGAGAGCAATACAGACAGAGAGAGGAGATTAAGAGGCCATAGACAGTCATTTGGATACTCTCGGTTTATAAGTAGCCCATAAAGTGGCTGAATATTCATGATTTTCAGGAATTGCCCTGGTGTTCTCTTTCCATGGTGTACGGAAGCCAAATGATAAATTGCTCCCGTGGGAGCAAACTGTGTACTTGCTCTCCCTGATAAAGCCTAAGCTAAGTGTATCTTTTGGATCTCAAAATTTAGAAATGTAATCTTTTGAACTTAGAAACAAACCCCAAAAAAGGAAAATTGAAACCTTACAATCTATGTGCTTGATAGGGAAATCTTGTTACACTCATTTTGTTTCCTCTCCTAAAAATGTTTAGAAATTCATGTATAAAACATCATTGTAAGACTCAATTTTACAATATTTCTATGTTAATGTTAAAAGCGATTTCTCCCTACTTGTAAATGTTATTCAGGATCGTTATTGTGCTTCATGTAGGTTACATATTGTTGCGGTTAATTGTCGGAGTAGACTATCTACTTGTATATGGTCAATATCTTATATTTGTCGTGTTGACAACATGGTACCCGATGCTCTTGCTAAGAAAGCTTCATTTAATTCTGGAGCAACTATTTTGCGCTTTCGACCACGAGACTTTATTTCACTGCTTTTACTTCATGACTTGACGCAACTGCCCTATTATAGGGTTGTAATCTAATGAATTGTTATTTCATTATTTTTTTTTTATAAATGAAAAGCAAATAAGACCTTCTTCCCTACGAACTTACCAAAAAAAAACAACATATCACAAAATTGAACAAGGGTCGTCTACTCTTTGAAGGGTATAATATTAGTGTTGAAGAACTCAAAATTCACTTTTTGTTTCTTTGAATATGATTATCTATTGATTATGAGGTGAATACCAAAATTGTAAAATAAAAAAATCCTCTCAAGTAACTGTTTTGTCTGAAGGAGTTTATATACAATATGCTCCTTGAGGAGCAGGTGCTATTTTTATACAATGGTGCGGTGTTATTTTTCCACGGTTTCAGAAGAATCGCAACCTTATAGAATTAAGGTGCAACCTTAACCTTGTAGAATTAAGGTGCACCCGAATAATTAACCAGAAACTTTGTTTTGATGTTGAAAACCTATCATTTCTATCGATATTTATTAAAACGAAAAAAAAGAAAAAGAAAAAAAGATTTCGAGTCCCAAAAATAATATATTTTACAATACATTATTTGAACCAACTATTTTTAAAATTTTCATGTGTTTATAATCTACTTGATTTCAACTATTTGTGGAGTTTAAAACTTTCTAATTAGGGATAAAAATAGATTTTCAAAGCATCCTAAATATTTACACTAAAATTATATTTTATGATAAAATTTATAGGTACACCTTATTTTGATTATCTAGTGTTGCAACTTTATCTAACCACACCTTTTATAGAGTAGTGTGCCTATCATCTAATTGTTGAAATCCCTTATAATGGCAGGAAATAATCATAATTAATATTTAAGGGGTTTTTTTTTTTTCTATTTTAGTCAACTACTTTATCAAAAGAAATTTATAATTTTCCAAATTGTCCTTTACATGGAGTCCGAACAATTAGAAGCATTCAAGTAGTTTTAACAAGAGGCACAAACTAAATAACAAAAATAATGTTGCTTGTTCAGAGGTGCAAATATGGAATATATTGTTCAAGGTTCTTAATGATGAACAATTAGGGGTATTTATATTATTTGACAAGGGAAAGGTTTATATGTTCCCCCTACAACGTAGAAGTTCTCTCCTCCCCCTACCATCCAGCCATCCAATTTTGATCAAGAGAGCTACTCACAGTTTGATCTAAGATCCGACGTCTCAAAGTATTTTATTTTTAGTTTTTTATACAAATTGTATGAATATTAAATTTGGTACATGTCATCTTCTCATTGGGGCGCACCTATAAATAGTATTAAAAATAATTTTTCGATAAAATATAATGATCAAAATACCCTTTAAAGCTTTTAGGGGTATTTTTATCATTTTAATTTATTGAAACTATTATTTTTATATTTTTCGCTAGTGCAAGTTTAATAGGTGAATGAACATCGAAAATTTGGTGTCAAAATAGTTTATAGGAAAAAAAATTAAAAATAAAATAGTGTAGAGATGTGACATTGTGATTGGGGCAATCTTATCCCTCCATTGAGAATGGACTGTTGGATAAGGGAGAGGATAGAACTTCTATGCGGTAAGGGAAGCATAAAAAGCTTGCCCATTTGACAAATACAAAAGATTTATGTACTAAATGACAAAAATACCCATAAATATTCCTCATAACTAACTCTTAACATTGTGTTCTTTATTGGGAACCTTGAACAAGTACGACTAGGCCTCTTGAGAATTAAATTATTGAAATGTTCATGATTGTTTAAGCTTTCTCATTTGATTAAAGACATTATGGAACTTTTTTAAGATTTTCTTTTTAGAGGTACCTAAGTGAAAGGAAAATGTAATCATGTTAATATAAATTAAGGTCATTTGACATTTTTAATGATTTTGTGAGGGGTTTCAATCTTTTGAATGATATTTCCCTATTTTAAAAATGGTTGATCCAACTTAAAATGCCTTGATGCCTCAAATTGCTCCTACTTGCCAAGTGTTTTATTTTTCTCTAATTGCATATACTCTGCTCCTGAGGGAGCATACTGTAAACTTCGTCCTTCAAACAGAAGATTCACTTGAACAATTTTTTTTATCCAAACTTTGAGAACCATGTAAAAATCACTAGATCATTATATTTAAAAGAAAAATTTTTAATAATCTGTTTTCTTATACTTAGATATCACCCTCTTCTATTTAACATTGAGGCTTCTTTTTTAGGCCCATGAAGAATACAATTTAGATTTTGTTTTTTATTGACAATAGCAATATGGATTAAAGATGTTACATGCACTGAATTTGATCCTAAAAATTTCTCCTTGTGCTTCACCTGAGGAAGTAAATGAACAATATACTCCTTCAGGAACATGAAATATTTTGGCTTTATCTTTTAATTCATGTTGTTATTAGTAAGCCCTAGTCGATCCTTGTCAGATTCATAAGATCCAAGAATTAAAAATATTACTTGCAAGCAAAAAGTCTCTCTCTTTTATATCTTACAACCCTATGGACCCCTTTGACCATAAAGTTTTGACCCAAACAAACACTAAAATGACACTCTATTCAAACTCCATCTTTCTCTCTCTCTAAAACTCCATCTCTCTCTTTTCGTTTCTTGGTGAGTTTACTAGCCAAGGGGTTTAGTTTGAGCTCGAACACGAGCACACTTTCTTATGTGAGAGAGAGATGGAGTTTGGGTTTTAGAGAGAGATGAAGTTTAAGGTTTAGGGAGAGAGATGAAGTTTTGAGAGAGAGAGAGATGGAGTTTTAGATAGAGAGAGATAAAGTTATTTCATAAGTTGTTGAGGTCAATAATACATGCTGCCTACCCCCATCACCGTCCAAAATTCATTGTGCGATCACGATTGTCTGATAGTGTTTTATTTTTTATTTTTTTCTACAAATCGGAATGATCTGATATTTGAAGCATGTGTTCATCAAAAATAGGGAAATCTTCAAAAAATATAAAAAAAATATTTTACATGAAAAAAATTGATCAAAATACCCTCGAAAAGTTTCGATGGTATTTTGGTCAATTGTTTTTTCATGGATAATTTTTTTTATATTTTTATTAGAAGCGCCTCAATAAGATGTACATACCTTCCAAATTTCAGGTCATTTCAATTTGTAGAAAAAAATGAAAAATAAAACACTACTAGACAATCACGACCGCAAGAAGAAATTTAGACGGTGATGAATGTAGGTGAAATCACTATTCATTTTCACCTATAAACGTTGGGAAGACTTTTTCATATATATATATATATATATATATATATATATATGGTAG